ACCCAGGCTGGAGTGCAGTGGCACGCTCAAGGCCACCGCAGCCTTGACCTGCTGCCTTAGGTGGTCCTTCCGCCTCAGCTTTCCAAGTAGCTGGAACTACAGACGCATGCCACCATGCCCAGCTATTTTTTTTTTTTTTTTTTGTGATTTATTGTAGAGACGAGGTCTCACCAAGTTGCCCAGGCTGGTCTCAAACCCCAGGGCTCAGGCAGTCCTCTTGCCTCACCTCCCAAAGTGCTGGGATTACAGGCTGCCCACCACGCCCAGCCTGTGTTCTGCATTTCTGTGTGTATGTATATGTCTCACCGGTGTGCGGATGTCTAGAGCAGCACCGTCCAACAGAACTTGCTGCCATGTTGGAAATGTGCTATATCTGCTCTGTTCAACATGTAGCCCCCAGCCATACGTGGCTATTGAGCACTAGTGAAATATAGCTAGTGACTCTGAGGAATTGGATTTTTAATTGTGTTCAGTTAAACTTATTATAATTTAAATAACCACAAGTACTGGATAGTGCAGGTCTATAGGATAAAGTCCTGGAAGTAGAAAAGATCAATGAAAGAATATGTGCTCTTGTGACTTTGAGACTTACAGGCAACATGCCCACTGACATTGCATTCGTTATCTGTTACTATGTAACAAATTATGCCAAACTCATCAGTTTACATGATACACACTCTCTTGGCTGGGCTCCGAGGCTCAGCCTGTAATCCCAGCGCTTTGGGAGGCCGAGGTGAGTGGATTGCCTGAACCTGCGCGTTCAAGACCCACCTGGGCAACTTGGCGAGATCTCATTTCTACAACAAATAAATAAATAAATTAGCCAGGCATGGTAGCGTGCGCCTGTAGTTCCAGCTACTCGGAAGGCTGAGGCAGAAGGATCACCGGAGCCCAGCAGGTCGAGGCTGCAGTGGCCGGGAGCGGCCACTGCACTCCAGTCTGGGTGATGGAGTGGGACTCCAACTCAAAAAAAAAACAAAACATGATACATATTCTCAGTTTCTGTGAGTGAGGAATGTGAGCATGACCACTTGGGGCTTCTTTTCAGCTCTTGCCAGACTGAGATCAATGAATTGACTGGGCTGCGCTCAAATCTGGAAGCTCAACTGGGGAGGAATCTGCTTCCAAGCTCACTCCAGTTGATGGCAGAATTCACTTCCTTTTGGTTGTGGAACAGAGGACGCTGGCCTGTTGCTGGCTGTTGATCGCCCACAGCTCCTTGCTTCATGAGCCTCGAAAGTTCTCCAAAGCCAGCAGTGGAGAGAGAATCTCTGGAGAGAGTCTGCTAGTAGGAGAGGATCTTATGAAATGTAACATAATCATGGGAGTGAGACTCCATCTCCTTCGCCATATTGTGTTGGTTAAGAAATAGTCCCAGGTCCCATCCACACTCTGGGGGAGAGGGGAAAGCTGGGGATTCTATAGCAGTGTTATCCTCAAGGAGCTGGAGAGAAGGAGGGAGTCTGTCCAAGAGATGCCACCACTAAAAGTGTGTGGAAGATCCTTCCTTCCCACAAGACCATCTTTCCATTTGTCTGGGATACAGGCAGTACTATTCTGCCCCACCCTTCTGCTGGTGAACTCCTACTTACTTGTCAGGCCTTAGTCTAATGTCACTTCCTCAGGGAAGCCTTCCCTGACCACCTAGAGCAGATCACCCTGAAATTATCATTAGGATCATTTAATTGAATCATTTTTTCTTTTGAGTTGGAGTGTCACTCAGTCGCCCAGACTGCAGTGCTGTGGCTGCTCCCGGCCACCACAGCCTCGACCTGCTGGGCTCCGGCGATCCTTCTGCCTCTGCCTTCCAAGTAGCCGGAACTACAGGGGTGCGCTACCACACCTGGCTAATTTTTATATTTATTGTAGAGATGAGGTCTCGCCAAGTTGCCCAGGCGGGTCTCAAACCCACGGGCTCAGGCAATCCACTCACCTCAGCCTCCCAAGGCGTGAGATTACAGGCTGAGCCACTGAGCCCGGCTCTGAATCATTTTTTTAAGGCATCTGTCGCCCCCCCACCCCACTGCCTATGAAGGACCACACCTGTCCCCCTCACATTGCATTCCCAGCATCCTGAAAAGAACCTGGCACAGAGTAGGTCCAACAGGAACTCTTTGTTGCCTGAATGAATGAGTCTCCCTAGATAGTACAAATCGAGTTTGCAAAGGCTTTGAGCAGAAGCTATTCCTCACTCCAGGCTTATGTCAGGACCCCAAAAGGATCTTAGACAATGTGGGCAAACTGAGAGAGGCTACCAAAAATTTTGTGATAGATATTTTCCTCAAGGATGTTAAGGGAAAATGAGAAGAGAAAGGGTTATTCACTTGATACATATTGCTAGATTGATTGTTGTTGAAAACAGCAACAAACTGTGGATCATACCTTGTAATCCCAGCACTTTGGGAGGCTGAGGCGAGAGGATTGCCTGAGTCCAGGGGTTCAAGACCAGCCTGGGCAAATTGACGTGATCGCATCTCTACAATAAATTTTTTTTTTTTTTTTTTTTGAG